CATCATAAATCTTTGCCAAAATTTATTCCATTATCTTTTTAGTAAAAAAAAAATCCAAATTAGTTTATAACCAAAAATTATAATTTTTAAACATTTTTGTTTACATTTTTATTTAAATTTTTTATATTATTTTTTTTTACATACTGTCACCCTAGCAGTACAGTGTCACCATGGTGTCACTGTACTACTTGTGGGGGGTGATGAAGATTTTTTTTTTTTTTTTACACTGATTGCTTTTACACTCATATAGGATGTAAAAGCAATTTCTCTTTCTCTCTGTCTGCATTCTTGCACTCATTGAAAAGTACTAAGTGAGCTGTGATTGGTCACAGCTTGTCACATGGTACAAGGCTGTTGTGAATAGCCTTGTACCATGTGACCTCTGTGATCATTCACAGATTTCACACGTAGTAAGCAATGATGTCACAAGTGACATCTTGCTTACTACTTTGCATGTGATCACTGATTGGCCAATCAGTGATCACATGATCTGGACCTCGTACAGAGGTCCCGTCCGACGATCGGTGTTTCACTGTGTCCAGAGGAGCGCGCACAAGCAGGGTGCGGGGAGGCCGTTTATAAACGGCCACCCGACCCTGCAGTGCCACCGTCCGGCCGTTTATATGCAACAGCCGGTCGGGAAGTGGTTAAAGACATAGGGGGAGATTTACTAAAACTGGAGCACTCGGAATCTAGTGCAGCTGTGCATGATAGCCAATCAGCTTCTAGTTTCAGTTTGTTCAATTAAGTCTGGACAATAAAACCTGGAAATTGATTGGTTTCTATGAAGAGCTGCACCAGATTTTGCTTCCAGTTTTAGCAAATCTCCCACAAAATGTTTTTTGAGGTTGAGCTCAGCATGTTTTCATATATCAAAGCTAAAGCATCTATAAAACCATTAAGTACTAAACATTTCAACTCAATTAGATTGGATGAACCTTCTCAAATCCATGATTTTCTCTTGAGAAAAAGCCAGCCAAATGTCGCCAATATATGGTTTAATAATATAGAGCCGAATTCCAGGCAAAACTTATTTTAGATTTGGAAAGTGTGTGGTAGGGTTAAACCCCCTGTCAGACTGTTATTGCTGTGTAGAATTATGGTCAGCACTCCAAGAAATCCATAAAGTAGATCTTACTTGGAATTACACATTCGGCAAAGAAACCAAGAAACAAGGTCGCCTTTCTAAAGGTAAATATGGCACAAATATGTGCTAGACCATGGGGTGAAAGAGTCCAAGAGGATTCTAATGGTTCATAATTCAACTATAAAATACAACAAATGCATTTTGGGGGCTAAAAACCACCCCCTTTCACCAGGGCTTAGAAGATGATATATAAAAACTTGAATTCAAATGAAGTAAAGGGGTTGATTTACCAAACTTGAAGAAGGCAAAATCTGGTGCAGCATAGAAACCAATCAGCTTCCAGGGTTTTTTATCAAAGCTTAATTGAACAAGCTGAAGTTAGAAGCTGATTGGCTACCATGCACAGATGCACCAGATTTTGCACTCTCCGGTTTTAGTAATTCAAGCCGATTGTGGCCAGTAGCTACAAAGTCTTCTTAGACTCTTTCACCCTATAGTCTGGTGTCAAATTGTGTATACTGTATTTAGTTTTGAATGCATCCTCCTGTATTCATTGGAGGAGGCCAGTTTGGAAACTGATTACCAAGCCAGTGAGCTAATTTGAAAACTTCCTACATTCGAACATTTCAGTGATCATAGGAATCCCAGTGCCAGATTTTCTTCCTTCCTTTCTCAAGGTGCCACATAGACTAAGTGCACATCAAAACAACCGCTCACGCAGTGAGGTCCACCTGGAATTACCCCTTGGTCATGGGCCTGTGTTGAGGTTCTAAATTTGTCTGGGCAATGTGTACAGTGCAGAGGCAAGGAAAAAACTTACCCCTCTTGTTCTGTGCACCTACATTCAGGATGGTTGTTTGGATGTACACAAAGGGGTCTATTTATTTAGCACTTTTCACAGAAATGTTGGCATGACCTTTGTCCATGTATATTTTTTGAAGTACCCATCTTTTCTTTATTTATCCATCATTTTAAAGCTAAACTCCCTGTGCACTGTATAGGCTGTGATAAATAAGGTAAAATGCTTACCTTATTCCTTCCTCCTGCAGACTTCCTTCCCACCGTATGATGGATCCCTTGGAACTGTTCCTGTTCACCACTGGTTGCAGCTTTCCAATGTCATGACATACAATGAAGGACTGGCAATGCTGCATTGCATGGGAGGATGCTAAGGGCCAGCCCACATGCCAGGACCATTGGATAGCAAAGAAAAGCGCTAGCTGTCTGAGGTAGGAGCAAGGGATAAGGTAATTATTTCACCTTATTCATCTCCTCCTAGACCAAACGAGAGTTGAAAGGGACATTTATAAGTTAGAATGAGTTGTGAAAGAGGATTTGCCTATTAGTCTATCATTTTCAAGGAGGATGCGCCCTATGTGAACCTTGTTTGTTATTGCAGTGTCTCCACTAACCACTTAACCTCCAGAAGGGCTACCCCCTTCATGACCAGGGCATTTTTGCTGTTCAGCACTGCGCTATTTTAACTGGCAACTTCTCAGTCATGCAGTATTGTACCCAAGTGAAATTGATATTTTTTAACAAAAATAGAGCTTTCTTTTGGTGGTATTTGATCACCGCTGAGTTTTTAATTTTTTATTATACAAACAAAAAAAAAGACCAAAAATATTGAAAAAAAATTTATATTTTATACTTTCGGTTATAAAACATATCCATAGTCTTCAAACAATTTAGGCCAAAATGTATTGTTACATGTCTAAATACACCCCTTAGTCTATCACCTTGAAGTTGGAACCTTCATGTTTCTTAAATGTCAGTAGCTTTTTTTCAGACATATGAATTCAACTAAAGTCTACTTCATAAAATTCTTGGAGCCCTGACTATTTTTCTACATAGATCACATCATTGAAAGCATTTAACTATACAGGAATACCTCGGTTTATGAACGTCTCGGTTAACGTAATTATCGGTTTACGAATGAAAATCCATTGAAAATAATGCCTCGGTTTACAAATTTTTTTCGCAACACGAACGGATTAATTGGTTTTCAATGCATTTACGATTTTTTTTTAATCATGTCCCTGTACAGTACTATGCCTTTAACCTCCCTGGCGGTATTCCCAAGTGTAGCTCGGGGTAAAGTTTCAGTACCACAAGAAGTAACCCCGAGCTACACTCGGGCTTACCATGCGGCGCTGCTCCGGGATCCCTTACCTTGTCCTGCGCTCCCGCGATGTCCCTCCTGCAGTGTCCCCAGCAATGTAATCCGGCGGATGCCGGCATCTGTCATCTGGGTTCCGTCCCCTGAGAGCGTCGGGATGTACAGGGGACGGAACAGCAGGAAATGTGAAAATCTGAAAAAGTGACATTCACTAAATACACTAAAATCCCATAGTAAAACATTACTGTATCAAACCATTTCACATACATTTTGTCCCGAGTGCTTTGTCCTGTGCCCTGCCTGCATTTTACTGTTCTTTCTGCCTGGAAACTGAGAAACATCCATGGCGTCCAAAAAGTATCCCTTTAGGTCAAAATCGGTTTTAGACCAGCTAGAGAACAGCGATAGTAAATTAGAACCACTTGCAGAATTGAGTGATAATGATTCGTGGGGAAATTCGTCATCAGACGCTGAAAACGATTTTGCGACTTTGCTCAGTGATGTGCAAACTTGGAGCTATATTTCAAATTTCAGTGTTTTTGGTTTGATTATATTATTGAATTCAATTTATTATATTATTATTTTTTATGATTATTTATTAAATTATAATTTATGATTTCGTGTTTCAAGTTTTATCCTACCCGGGATGTTTACTAGACTCTTGTTTGGACAGATTTCAGTGAGTTATTCCTAAAAATTACAGGCCTACAATAAAAAAAAAACATATTTCCATGCAAAAAAATGTACCGCTTTGAGCACAGAAATATGGACATAATCAGACCGCTAGGGAGGTTAAAGTGCACTTTATTAAGAGTTTTGAACAGATAAAACTTTTTTTTTTTACTTTTTTCTGACTTCTGGAACGGATTAATTGGTTTTCAATGCATTTACGAATTCATTTTTAATCATGTCCCTGTACAGTATTTATGCCTTTAAAGTGCACTTTATAAAGAATTTTGAACAGATAAAAGACTTTTTTTTTTACTTTTTTCTGACCTCCGGAACGGATCAATTGGTTTTCAATGCATTCCTATGGGAAACCGCGTTTCAGTTTACGAATTTTATGCAGTGCGAAAAGTCCCGCAGAACGCATTCATTTCGTAAACCTAGGTATGGCTGTATCTGTTTAATAAGTGCAAACACATATCTGTTGTCAGAGATCCCATGAGCTTTTAACGACCTGTGCTCTCTGCCTGTGTTATTTTGTGTTGGACTTCAGAGCAGTTCCTCTTCATGTTACGGAAAGGAGGAGAGGAGAAATTAGAGCTAACTCAAAGTAAAGAGTCCTTCTTCATGCTGGCAGGGGAGCGGCTTTTCTACACAGGCTGTGACTGTTTTCCAAAGAAAATGAAATAGACTTTGCACATATTTTCTATTGATAGATGTGGAATATATTTTGCTGATTTAAACTGAAGGTTCAGCTGTGATTCAACTAGGTAGACCAATTAACAAACAAGAGAAAGGAGAGATGTTCCATGTTCATTGAAATGTAGTGATTCTCCTGACCCTCTCTCAGCATCACCTACACACACATCTGCTATATTTCATTTGCTGAAGGTAACCACAGATGACAGAGGTGGGTGGCCAGAAGAGACAAACAAAATAAGAAAAAATACATTATAGTTTATACATTTTAAGGTTTGCTGCTTCCCCTCCAACCTAGCGCCACTGGCTATAGCCGACTATAGACTGATTATTCCGATTGGAAGAAATCAATTTTGAAAAAGAACTTTACACACCACCATTACACAGTCCTGGCTCCAATCTGTTTGCAGTTTAAGAATTCTGTATTACACCAAACCAGGGGCGGACTGACAACTCATAAGGCCCCCAGGCAATAGGGGATCATGGGGCCCCTGTGTCCTTGCCCAGACTCAGAAAAGCCTATACAAAAGGTACCAGGGGCATCTCATGGGGCCCCCTACTGACCCCCGGCCCTCGGGCAGTGCTCGAGCTTCCAAATTTTCAGTCCGCCACTGCACCAGACAACTATACAATTCATATTTTAAATCTGCTATGAATACATTGCCCAAGCTCTCTTGTTTAATCCTTAATATATGTAATGAACAGCTTTTTCATCTGTCATACATTCCTCGAAGATCACGGTTCCAAAATACTTAATATGAAAGGCAAGCTGCAAGCTTAAGTCCTTCTCCATAATTTACTAACTAAAGTATAATGTTTATCAAAACTCACAAATCAGTCTGGACAGTTTAAGTTGGCAGGAACCAGGATGTCGCTGTTTATAAGTACCATAAAGATGAAAAGTAAGCCATTAGGTTATTTTTAGAAAAGAAAAATCTAGAGAATAAGGTGATGATATGTGTTATTGAAATATTGATTGCTTAAAAGAACAGCAGGGGAGATATTTCCACCTTGATTCTGTATGGAAAGAGTTTGTAGGTTTTCCTTAAAGCTTATCTAATCCCTAAAACAAACATGTGATTCAGAGGAAGGCATAATAAACCCTATGACGCATAGTCCAATTTGCTCTAATAAGGTAAAAAAAAAATGCCTTCTGTATCCCCCAGATCCCTAGATCAGCCTTTCTCAACATTTTCAACACAAAGGAACCCTTGAAACCATTTTTGTTCTCAGGGAACCCCTGCTAACAAATAATATGTCTACAGCTCATGATAAATTAGTGTGATGGAAGAATGCTCCTTACAACTTTGGTCATTAGGAAGAATTACCCACTTACAGAAAGCTAAAAAGATCATAGGTGTTAGTGAGAACTTATCTGAAAGGGAGACATTTCTCATTGCTCAATGGACCCCTATCAACCTCTGGAGGAACCATATGGTTCCATGGAACCTTAGTTGAGAAACCCTGCCCTAGATGAACATTCTCTAGTGTTATTACATATAAATCTTAGTATCCAATTACATTTTGTGCATTTAGGAATGCATCCAGCTCTCTTTTTTTTAAATATTCTACTGATGTGGCCAGAACTAGCTTTTGAGGGAGCCTATTGTACATTTTAACAGCTCTTATTGTGAAGAAGTCCTTCCATATGTGGAGGTTAAATCTCTTTTCCTCCACCCGGTAATCTTGAGGATACACACTTCCTGTCCCTGGGTGACTATGCTCACTCACTCTAATGTAACTATGGAAGCAGTCATGGTTGCCATCCAGGCTGGAATTCAATAATTCACATCTATTACAAGTGGGGTGATGAGATTAGTATATTTAAAGGTAAACTAGTTATTGCTTTTAATTCATCTTATAGGAAGTGACAAGGACACTGCATTTCTGGCAAGAAGTATTATGTGTACTTGTTAAAAATGGTCTTAGCCTGAAAATGAAAACTGATGCAACCTCCACAGTCTACTAATTGTTAAGATGCAATATATTACATTTTTGTTATTTGGTTAAAAATGATGTATGGGGTAATAAAAAATATAAACAAAAAACAAACATACATACTTGTGAGGGACGCGGCGTCAGATCCCCAGCCCTTCTTACCAACTCGTGACCAAAGGACTAGCCAATCTAAAACCGCGCTGTCACATGCATAACAAAACCACGCTCAGCTGCACCGTGCACAAAGATTTTCCAGCTAATTGACCACAATCTCTGTACCGCAGCCTGAGAGCAATTGTTGCTGGGTCAGGTTATTTACGCAATTAACCCTTCACACTGCCACCACCACCTTTTTGTACAGAGTAGGAGGAAACTTGCCAATCTTAGCAGTAACACTACGATGTTTGAATAAGCGTCTGTATACACACTGTCACCGCAGGCTGATGTAAAAATATTTACAGAAAAAGATGTAGCCAATGTATATATATATATATATATATATATATAATATATATAAAATACAGAGAGCAATATCACAACAGAGAGATAACAGAAAGACGTTTAGAGAGGTAGAATACTTGCCGTCAGCCTTGGTTTAAGCAGATCAAGGTCCTGAACAAAAGGGTCCCGTTCTCCCAAGTTGGTTCCTGATGTTAAAAGGGGAGAATTCTTCAACTTATCTTTCTCAAGCCTGACAGCCTGTTTTCTAGTCCACCAGCAGCATGTCTCCTTAAAGCAGAGAACCAATTGCCTCATTTTGGGAAGGTGTTTAGGCGGGGAACTCTGCTATGATCAAATCCCTCACACGTTTATACCATGGTTAATAATCTTCCATAGGTACATGGAGTATCCTATCCACTGATAGGATAATATGCAGAATCATCTGCTGAACGTCTAGATAACAGATATGACATATCTATCTGTGACGGTTAAAGAGATATCGCTTTCTGCTCACGGTAGACGTAATCTAGGTGTGTAAGATATCAGGCGACTCGCATTAAACTGAGCTATCCGAATATATGCTTTGTTCGATTGTATGTATTCCCTATTTTAAGTTATGAAAAGTGGTTTTTAAATGGGATGTATGTTTTCGGCTATTCTGGAATGTGTTTCATGTCCAGTGAAGGACTGGTTTATAGCTTTACGATCATCTTCAGAGCATTCAGAGCAAGAGTGGGACAGACACCCTGGCATCAGCTAATTGGGTTTACAACCATGAAGGATATCCAGCTGTGTCCTGTGCACTCTTGAACCCAGCACACAAGGACCACGTGTCACTCAACAGAGGGGAGGGGGGATCTGATTTGGAGTGAAAAAATGATACAAGATGGAGGGTCTTTACCAAAATGGATGTTCGCGTCAATATTTGTACGTACAATTGCTACAATACTCACCTCCATGCTGCAGTATTGCTGTGACTCTAAGCCTAAGAACTGAGTGATCACATGACCGCTGATCACTTGTCAAATGTAAGGGTGTTGAATTTTTATTTTTACCTCTACATTTCATAAAAGGCATTACACTATTAGATTTATTTTCATGTGTGACCTTTTGTGATCCATGGTGCATTGACTCTCCCCTGTTCCCCAGTATGGGAGGTGAAGATTGTATCAGACTTAAAGTACAACTAAAGGCAAAGCTTTTTTTAGTTTTGGATATAGTGGAGATGGATTAGAACACATATTAAGTTTTTATCACTTGTTGTGCCTCCGATTCACCCTCTCAATTTGCCTTGTTTACCATTATCATTGAAAGTTAAAGTAAAAAAAAATCCCATATGTTGGGTTGCCCTAGAAAAGTAATAGAGACAAAATCTTCCAATGGTGACACTAGTTCTGGTGACCTTGGGGTTCCCAAGGGATTCATGTAGCCTTCCTAACAGTCTGATTATGTCAGTATTTCTGTGCTCAAAGTGGTACATTTTTTTGCATGGAAATATGTATTTTTTTATTGTAGGCCTGTAATTTTTAGGAATAACTCACTGAAATCTGTCCAAACAAGAGTCTAGTAAACATGATAAAATTTGGAACACGAAATCATAAATTTCAATTTGATAAATAATCATAAAACATAATAATATAACAATAATAATTTAATTCAATAATATAATCAAACCAAAAACACTGAAATTTGAAATAGAGCGCCAAGTTCGCACATCACTGAGCAAAGTAGCAAAATCGTTTTCAGTGTCTGATGACGAATTTCCCCACGAATCATTATCACTCAATTCTGCAAGTGGTTCTAATTTAATATTGCTGTCCTCTAGCTGGTCTAAAACCGATTTTGACCTAAAGGGACACTTTTTGGACGCCATGGACATTCTCAGTTTCCAGGCAGAAAGAACAGTAAAAATGCAGGCAGGGCACAGGACAAAGCAGTAGGGACAAAATGTATGTGAAATGGTTTGATACAGTAATATTTTACTATGTAATTTTAGTGTATTTAGTGAATGTCACTATTTCACATTTTTAAATTTCCCACTGCTTCATCCCTCGTACGCCCTGACGTTGCAGGGAACGGAACCCAGAAGACAGATGCCGTTATCGGCCGGAGGACATTGCAGGGAACACTGCAGGAGGGACATTGCGGGAGCGCAGGACAAGGTAAGTGAAGTAGAGATCCCGGAGCAACGCTGCAAGGTATTCCCGAGTGTAGCTCGGGGTTACAGCTTGTGGTGCTGAAACTTTACCCCAAGCTACACTCGGGAATACCGCCAGGGAGGTTAATATGCAGGGATTTCCTCTCACTTCCTACTTTTGGCTTTTGAAGGAAAATTTCCCCAATGGGACACTGATGGCAAAAATTAAACTGTCAGGGGTTATAACCCGTTTTTACTCTATCCAAAATGAAAGTAAAATTATTTTGCCTATAGTTCTAATGGATCACTTAAAGAACTGGCTGTGGGTTTGACTGTCTATAACTCAGGTGTCAAACTGGCGGCCCTCCATCTGTTGCCAAACTACAAGTCCCATGAGGCATTGCAAGATTGACAGTTACAAGCATGACTCCCAAAGGTAGAGGCATGATGGGATTTGTAGTTTCACAACAGCTGGAGGGCCGCCTGTTTGACACCCCTGATCTATAACAAAAGGGTCAATACTATCTGATGAGTTTTGCTTACCACATGGTGTGACACACTGGGTACCGCACTTATAAATTTGGATGAAGATTTCTATTTGGATGAAGTTTTTTTCATGTAAATGGAACTTCATTTTCTCATTTTATTTACTATCTTTGAGCACTACATTTGGACTATATTTTCATGTTCAGCATGCTGTAAAAGTGTTGGTGGCATCTGTATTTTTATGGCTGTATATTTACAGTGCCTTGAAAAAGTACTCATACCCCTTGAAATTTTCCACATTTTGACATGTTACAACCAAAAACGTAAATGTGTTTTATTGGGATTTTATGTGATAGACCAACAAAAAGTGGCACATAATTGTGAAGTGGAAGGAAAATGATAAATGGTTTTCAGCATTTTTTGCAAATAAACATCTGAAAAGTGTGGTGTGCATTTGTATTCAGCCCCCCCGGAGTCAATACTTTGTAGAACCACCTTTCGCTGCAATTGCAGCTGCAAGT